TCTCTTGGACGAGAAACAAAATGTTTCACTAAAGAAGAACCCATCCAGAGGACCTACTTATTTTTTCTTTTTTATTGTTAYTTATATTTTCAAACTTACGTGAAGAAGATGAGGTGACAGACACAGAGACAGARGCCTGGTGGACGTGAGGGCCTGAGCTCCCAGAGTTGTCCTGTACCCGACAGATATACTCTCCSGAATCCTCAGAGGAGGCTGACAGGATGCGCAACTGACTTCCAACAACCTTCAGGAAGGAATGGGAGAAAATGTGTGCTTCACTTGGATATGAAAAACATCTGGCTTAAGGATCTGCGTAACTTTCAAGAGCATAACTCTGTCTACTATTGGGGGTGGGGGGTGTTCTGCTCTCTTCCTAATTAATTATTTATTGAATCATTTATTTTTGTAAAATGATTCAGGATATTTTGGGGTTAAAATATATTACAATAATTTTACTGTAATGTAATGTGTGATCAACGCATGTTCCCATACAATGATGAAAACTGCACTCTGCATTTGACCCATCACACGTGAGAAACACCCAAATGGAGCAGCGGGCAGCTATGTAAGCAGTTGGGGATTAGGTGTCTTGCTCAAGGACACCACAACATGTGGGCATGGCGGGGAGTCAAACTGTGACTTTTTGGTCGGCTGCCCTACCACTATACCACAGCTGTCCCTGTGATTTACTTAACTTTCCTGTTTTCTTTTGGTATTCATGCTGCACCTTTTCTATTCCACATCAGTTCAACATTTAAGAACCCCCCCACCACCACCACCACCAAGTAAATATTTTACATAGGATGCTTGCTTAGAATGTATTACATAAAATACAGAAATTTCTCAGTTTGCCAAGAATAYGTGTTCACCTGTTTCACTACAATTTGGCCAGGAAAATTGACAAAAATGACCTTGTGACATAAGAATCAGTATAAAATGCCCATTCCATTTTTCAGAATGGTGCAAAGTTGAAACTTGGYTTGTGCATGTCCCGTAACTCTGAGCAAATGAAATGACAATCTTGTAAAAGCCTGAGGAAATACCATAGGCATTGGACATAACATTTATCCTTCAGTAAATTTGTTGATGTTTGTGTGGTGACCTGGTGGTTGGCAGAGAAGTGTCCATTGGCTCTTGTCCAGATTACTCTGGATGGTGGATTTCCAGGAGCCAAGCARTTGAGCTCCAAACTCTGTCCCTCCTGGACATCAGCGCTGGATGGCTGGATGGTAACAGCCGCAGAACTGTGCTCTGCTGCTTGAACATAAAAAAAAATTATTGATAAGCAAAAAAGAATGGGCTTAGCAAAGGTAAAAATAATAAAATCAAATTATACAGACCTATTATATATTTACAGTATATATG